AATGTTTATGTGATGATATATTCTGCTTCATTTTGGTTGGATTTGTGATGATTTTGAGATTTAATTTCTGAATTTGTGATATTGATCATGGCTCGAAACATCGGCTCGATGAATTGAGCCGATCTCTGTGCTTTTATTTTTAGTTGTTCATTCCCAATCAGTGCTGCCTCTCAATTCGACATCGATAAGCTTACCTCATCAGTACTGGTATAGAGGTGTCGGTTCTAAGTCCAGCACTGATGGTTGTTTTGAAACTGGCATTGAATTGGTCTTCTATACTAGTGACGCATCTTGACAAGTGCGGATCTCCATGGGCCTAAAGGTCTATAACTCAAATTAATTTTCACCATGCATACTAAGTTCAATAGGCCAAAATAGGCTGGACTGGCAGGATATTGGCTCAAGGCTGTGTCCCCTATCCACCCTTCAAAGCTTAGAGCTGCAGAGAGATGATGGTAATGGGGTAGTTTCTTTCACATAATAATATCTTGGTTGGACAATAGGAATATCTGAACCAGATTCCGTTTGATATCTTTGTGGTTGTCAGGCACTGCCATGAGTGGAACTGGATTTAACCGAAAATGACCAAATTGTTGTATTTATCATGACAACAGAGACAGTAAAGAATCACAAAACAGAAGACAACAATCAGTACATTATCTGAACAAGACAACAGTCAACATTATTTTCAACTTAAGAATGACAAAAAAAAACACACACAATCTAACACAGATAGTACACTACAAATCTATAATCACTCAGTCATGGAGGCAGCATCGCCAGCACTGATTATTTGGTGGCCTCCTTGCTTGCTAGACTGTTCCAGGTAACAACCAGAAACACATATGCTTTGTCATATACCTTGTCGAAAAGACGAAAATAAGCAATCCTCCAAGATTTCTTGAATAGAAGGGTCGAAAACACCACCCAGAGGCCAAGTACAAATCCTATGACAAGTCCAAAGCAGAGATACAATAACTCATAGTGGTCTTTGTAACTCCCGTAGTCATTTGATGCGTCGTTCCCAGGGCATTTCTTCTTAAGAATATCCCCACAGAGACCGGCGTTGCCATCGTACATAGACGGATTATTGTTGTAGAGTGTGTCAAGTTGACCTCCTGATGGTATTCTTCCTATAAGATTGTTGTAGGACAAGTTCAATGTACTTAAGTATGTTAATTTTGATATGCTTGAAGGGATTTCACCTGAAAGCTTGTTCTCTGAGAGATCAAGCGACTCTAATGAAATCAAGGCGCCAATCTTGTCAGGAATATGTCCGCTCAAGTGATTCAAAGATAAGTTCAAGTTCAGTTAATGCATCAAGATATGTTATCTCCTCTGGAATTTCACCAGTCAAGTAGTTGGATGATAAGTCAATAGTCACTATTCCCAAAAGTGCAAAGCCTTGATATTTAAGATCTTGCCTCTTGGTAGTGACTGATAGTTCACCAACCATATGTTTGAACCTCGAAAGATAACGGTCAACTCCCCGTGAATAATTGTTTGGGAGCTTACGTAGCATAGACTTCCTTTTTGTCATAGCTTCAAGATTTGATAGCTGCCAAGGTATAACACCGGATAGGCTGTTGGCTGCAAGATTCAAATGGTAAAGTTGTGAAAGATCAGTGATATTGGTTGGAATATGACCATCAAACTTATTGTAGCTCAATTTTAGAAATCGCAGTCTAACCAAGTTACTGATCCACATTGGCAATTTCCGGGATAATCTATTCCATGAAAGATCTAGAAAAGTTATACTTGTGCAGCTCTGTAGAGAAGGTGGGAATTTGCCAGATAAACCATTTTTACTACAAAAGAAAGCTCAGGTGTTCCATTTTGAAACATCTAGGAAGCTCCCCTTCAAAATTATTGTTGGATAAATCCAATATATACAACTCATCAAATTCACAAAATGACACTGGAATTTGACCGGTGAAATTATTGGAACGTAGAATGAGGCATTCAATTCTTGGAGCTCCAAGATTCAATGGAAGAGGTCCTGATAAAAAGTTTCTTGAGATATCCAAGTAATATAGTTCTCTTGGCAATAAAGGTATTTGACCTGTTATATTGTTTGAACTCAGGAGGAGTTTACTCAAAGACATGGTCTCCATGTTTGTTGGCAATGCTCCAATGATTTGATTACCCGAAATGTCCAACACTTAGACATTTGACAATGAATTACTGAACCAGTCTGGAAGCCTATCAATTATATTACCGCGTGAAATATTAATGTGTGAAATGCCCATCGGCCACTTAAACCATGAAGGAAACAAAGGACCTATGTGGCAAGATGCTAAATTAGCTACTTTCAGTCGAAAGGGAGGAATCCAGTCTGAACCTACAACAATCTTCAATCGATTGTCAGATAAGCCAATATTCTTCAAGCTTTTCAATCCATCAAAAAGTTCTTCTGTGATCAGACCATCCAAGTCATTGTAGCTTAGATCCAACCAAGCCAACTTAGTGAGTGTACTGATTTCCAGAGGCACATGTCCTATAAGGTGGTTGTCGGAGAGGTCAAGGAACCATAAACTTTTAAGATGCCTTAGGGCATGTTCAAAGGTAGAGACCAGCATAGGCTCTCTCTACACTCCATGTTAGCGAAAAAACTGATATCTACAAAGGACTGTCTCTTAGCTAACTCTCCATTAATACATCTAATAAATGACTAATAAATTCATCATATATACTAGATCAAATATAAATTTCAGCCATGCATATATTTGTGTATCGGATCTGAATTAATCGGGCCCATGGACGGTCTCTTGTTGAAGACAGCAGTATACTACGCTTGGTGTTTTTCAGTATCCTCGTGTTTTTCTAGAGTCGTTGTCTAGCCGATGTCATGCAAAACAACGGTGTTTCTCTCTCCTATCATCTCTCACATCCATGTCAGCAATTTTTCTTCATTAGCAAACTATGAGAGATGGTAAATAGATGTTGGCAGATGCCCAGTGATGTTATTCTCAGAGATGTTGGTAGATGTGCTAACCATGAGAGATCAGTGGAATACAGATTGTCAGACAGTGAGAGATCAAGGTAGTGCAGCTTCGAGAAATTACCAAGCTGAGGAGGAACCTCACCGGAGAACAGAATCCCGGAGAGGTTGAGATATCTCTCAACTTCTTGAAAGAACCCAAGAACTCCGGGACACGGCCATCGGTGTTGGGCTGTAAATAGACTAGTTATGTGTGTGTGTCTTGTGTGCTGGCCCATCTATTGAAGAGGGCCCATCCCATGTATATGTAAGTGAGAATGGCAATAGAGAAAGTGAAGCTTCCAGAGAAAAAATCACAAGACTTCATGGTATCAGAGCCAACCGGCTAGTGGCTGGCGACGGCTAAACCCTAGCCTCGCCAGAGCTCGTCGAGGAGGGAGACGCTGGTGTTGGGGAGGACGTGTGGCGGCGGCGCTGTGAGCGGAGGAGTGCTGCACCCGTCGACTGCTGAGGCGGAGCGACGGCGACGGCTGCTGCAGCGCGGCCGGTGTGACGGAGGGAGCAGGGCTGCAGTGCTAGGTGTGCTTGTGCTTGTGAAGGAAGGAGTGAGTAAGTGTGCTTGTGCTGTTGCTGCTGCTTGGATTTGGTAGTGTACTTGTGCTGTTGCTGCTGTTTGGATTTGGTACTTGTTCTGTGAGAGGAGACAGAGAAGAGCTGTGCGTTGGTAGTGTGCTTGGCGCTGTTGCTGCTGCTTGGATTTGGTACTTGTGCTGTGAGAGGAGACAGAGAAGAGCTGTGCGACGAGTTGCTTGTGCTGTTGAAAGGAAAAAAAAAGGGAGGAGACAGAGAGGAGGTGAGGTGCTTGTGCTGTTGCTGTTGAAAGGAAAAGGGAGGATTTGGTGCCTGTGTAGCTGCTGCTGGTTAGAGTAGCTACAACTAGGGCGGTTAAAAAAGCTCAAGGCTCGCGAGTAGCTCGAGCTTGGCTCGTCCTAGGCTCGATTCGAGCTCGGCTCGAGCTTCAAACGAGCCGAACCCGAGCCTGAGCAAAAGCTCGCGAGCTTCTACCGAGCCTGGCCGAGCTTGACTGTGTATAATTCATATTGCATGTTCACCTTATTAATATAATAAACTAATAGATAAATACATATATTAGTATCTATTTACACAATAAATTAGCATGTGTTAGCACAATATATTTATTTTAATCATTTTCTACTCTTTTCTTAGTGTGATTAACTAGAAAATAATTATACTTATCAAAAGATTATCATTAAAATATATATTATACTACTTATGGCCGAGCTCGGTAGCCAAGCTCGAGCTCGAATGAGCTCGAACCGAGCTTGCCTAAAAGCTCGAAGGTGGAATAGGCTCGGCTCGAGCTCGGCTCGAGCTTGTGTCGAGCTCGAGCTTGGGCAGACAAGCTCGCTCGAGCTCGGCTCGTTGACAGCCCTAGCTACAACTTATAGAAGGTGAGAATAAGGAACTTTCTACTGCAAGTATTGCTTGATTAAAATGGGGGAAAATCAGGGACTGGAACAAGTAATGGGTAAATTGGTAGAGATGCTTGCAAAGAAGTTTAATGAGGCTCCAACTACGAGTAGTGCAGTGGTTCCTCATACTGAATCGGTGCAAAAAATTGAGTTGATGCAAAATGACATTAAGTTGGAGGGTGTAAAAAATTATTTGAGTTGGTCAAGAAGAGCTTTATTGATTTTGAAGACAAAGGGGTTAGAAGGATATGTTACCGGGGAGATAAAGGAGCCTGAGAACATATCAAGTGTTGAATGGAAGACTTGGAGTACTACCAACTCGTTAGTAGTAGCATGGTTGTTAACCTCACTTATCCCTGCTATTGCTACAACTGTTGAGACCATCTCTAGTGCAAGTGAGATGTGGAAAACTCTTACTAATCTCTACTCAAGAGAAGGAAATGTGATGTTAATGGTGGAGACACAGGAGAAGATAAGTGTTTTGAGACAGGGGGAGCGTTCTGTTGCAGAATATGTTGCTGAATTGAAGCATTTATGGTCTGATTTGGATCATTATAATCCTCTTGGGTTAGAGCACCCTGATTGTATAGCAAAAATGAGAAAATGGATTGAGCGTAGAAGGGTCATTGAGTTCTTGAAGGGCTTAAATTCGGAGTTTGAAGGAAGAAGGAATGCAATGTTTCATCAAACCACCCTTCCTACCTTGGATGAGGCTATTGCAGCTATGGCACAGGAGAAGCTTAAGAAGAAAGTATTGCCTAGTGCCACACCATCTTCACCAAGCCCCACCTATGTAGTTGCACAAAGTAAAGAGACTAGGGAGTGCTTCAATTGTGGTAAAATGGGGCACCTTATACGTGATTGCCGCGCTCCTCGCAAGCCTAGTTATGGGAGAGGAAGATTTGGTGATAGGGGTGGAGCAAGAGGTGGAAGAGGTTATGCAGGTAGAGGTAACAGAGGTAGAGGCTATGAGTATAGAAGTGATCACAGAGCTAATGTGGTCACTCTTGAAGAGGGTTGTTCTAGATCTACAAATGTTGATGTTGCCAATCTTGTTCATTCTTCCTGAGGTAACTCAAACCAAGCATTTATGTCTATCAATAGTTCTCATTCAAATTGGATACTTGACTCGGGTACATCTAGACATGTCACGGGTATGTGTGGAGAATTTGCATCATATAAACCATACCCATTTACACGAAAAGAAACAATTCAAACTGCTGATGGGACATCATGCCCAGTTAAGGGAGAGGGTACAGTACAGTGTACTCCTTCAATCACTTTATCATCAGTGTTATATGTCCCTTCTTTTCCAGTGAATTTGGTTTCGATAAGTTCTCTTGTTGATCATATGAATTGTCGGGTCTCCCTTGATCGTGAGAATTGTTTAATTCAGGAGAGGGAAACAGGGAAGAAACTTGGGATTGGCGTCAGGCGTGATGGACTTTGGTATTTGGATCGAAAGGAGACAAGTGAAGATGTATGTCTTGCATTGATGGCTTCTACAAGCGAAGAAGAGGCTAAGGTATTACTTTTGCATTGTCGACTGGGGCACATATTTTTTGAAACTATGAGTAAGATGTTCCCAGCAGAACTAAGTAGAGTGGATAAACATAAGTTAGTATGTGATGCATGTGAGTATGGAAAACATACAAGAACATCATATGTGAGTAGAGGACTCCGGAGTATGTTACCATTTATGCTAATTCACTCAGATGTTTGGACTTTACCTGTGGTCTCTATGAGTGGAATGAAGTATTTTGTTACCTTTATTGATTGCTACTCTCGCATGACATGGTTATATCTTATGAGACATAAGGATGAGGTGCTTAAATGTTTTCTAAATTTCTATGCATACATTAAAAATCATTTTAATGCTCGGGTCCAGTTTATTAGAACTGATAATGGAGGGGAGTATATAAACAATGAATTTAGTATCTTTCTTTCATCAGAAGGAATATTGCATCAAACTTCTTGTCCTGATACTCCTCCACAAAATGGGGTGGCTGAGAGGAAAAACCGTCATCTCTTAGAAACAGCCCGCTCATTGATGTATACTATGAATATACCTAAATTCTTATGGAGTGAGGCAGTAATGACAGCAACTTATCTTATCAACCGCACACCATCAAGAATACTTGGAATGAAGACACCATGTGAGATGATATTTGGAAAGAATGAATTTGTTGTTCCACCAAAAGTGTTTGGTTGCACTTGTTTTGTTAGAGATCATAGACCTTCCATTGGAAAACTTGATCCTCGGGCTGTCAAATGCATCTTTGTAGGCTATTCATCTGGCCAGAAGGGGTATAAGTGTTGGAGTCCATCAGAAAGACGAACCTTTGTAAGTATGGATGTTACTTTTAGATAATCTGTCCCATTCTATGGTGAGAAGACAGATTTAAGTTCTTTATTCATTGATCTTGATGATTCAACTAATGGTCATGATGGTCACCAAATGAAAGATGAAATATTGGGTCCAAAGGGAGATGAACAACCAAAGAAGGAAAAGCTTGTGGTTGGTTCAATTCCATGTCCCATGGGTGGTCCTGTTGCACAGGAGCAAGAATGGAGGAAGCCACATGAAGAGAAAAATCTTCAAGTATACACAAGGAGAACAAGGTGTCCAGTAATCCAACAAGTTGAAGAGGATAATCAGGTAGAGGAAGATGTAAGCCGTGAGCAAGGATCTTTGGAGTCAGGGGGAGAAGAAGAGGAAGTTAGAGAAGAATCTGACTTACCAATTGCCATTAGAAAGAGTGTGAGAAGCAATGCAGGTAAACCTCCACTAAGGTATGGTTTTGAAGCTCAAGATGAGAGTGATGATGAAAATAATATATCCAACTATGTTTCCTATGACTCCTTGTCATCCACATATAAGGCCTTTGTAGCATCACTAGATTCAGTGCAAATCCCAAAGGATTGGAGAGAAGCAAAGCAAGATCCAAGGTGGCATCAAGCTATGCTAGATGAACTAGAGGCTCTTGAAAAGAACAAAACATGGGATCTTGTACCATTTCCTAAAGGGAAGAAAATTGTCAACTATAAGTGGGTTTATACAGTAAAGCAAAATCCTGATGGAAAGGTGGAAAGATACAAAGCAAGGTTGGTGGCTAAGGGATATAGTCAAACATATGGAATTGATTATGATGAAACATTTGCACCAGTAGCAAAGATGAGCACGGTAAGAACTCTTATATCTTGTGCAGCTAATTTTGATTGGCCATTGCATCAGTTAGATGTCAAGAATGCATTCTTACATGGAGATCTTCAAGAAGAGGTGTATATGGATGTCCCACCTGGATTTGCCACTTCACAAACTAAAGGAAAGGTGTTGAGATTGAAGAAATCTTTGTATGGTCTTAAACAGTCACCAAGAGCATGGTTTGATCGGTTTAGGCGTGCAATGTGTGCTATGGACTATAAGCAATGTAATGGAGATCATACAGTTTTCTATCATCATTGTGGAGATCATATAACCATTCTTGCTGTCTATGTTGATGATATGATTATCACTGGAAATGATTGCTTGGAGATAACTAGGTTGAAACGGAATCTAAGCAAAGAATTTGAGGTCAAGGACCTAGGCCAGTTGAGATATTTTCTAGGTATTGAAATTGCAAGATCTCCTAGAGGGATAGTTATTTCACAGCGAAAATATGTATTGGACTTGCTTAGTGAAACAGGTAGGCTTGGATGTCGCCCAGTCTCTACACCAATTGATCAAAATCATAAGTTATGTGCGGAGTCTGGAGATCCAGTGAATAGGGAAAGATACCAAAGATTGGTGGGAAGATTGATATATCTATGTCATACACGACCTGACATAACATATGCTGTCAGTATGGTGAGTCGATATATGCATGATCCAAGAAGTGGTCATATGGAGGCGATGTATAGATATCTATCACCCATCTTGAGGGGGAGTGTTGGGCTGTAAATAGACTAGTTATGTATGTGTGTCTTGTGTGCTGGCCCATCTATTGAAGAGGGCCCATCCCATGTATATGTAAGTGAGAATGGCAATAGAGAAAGTGAAGCTTCCAGAGAAAAAATCACAAGACTTCAATCGGGCCCCTGGAGCTGGTTCCATGCGAGGTCAAGGTGCTTCAGATGATGCAAGGAGAGAAAGGAAGGACTTATCTGGCCAAAGAGAGATCCATCATGTACATCGTCTGATAAATCGAACGACAAATCATCATGTACTCGCATTGAACCTAAGTGAGATTGTACATTCTCAGTCAGGCTGGTCAGAATTAATTCTCTGAAGACCATGAGTTGATCAATTTAGGCTGGAAACGGAAGATAACGTATAGCTTACAATTAACTGCACTCAAGTCAGATAAAAGGATGAACTCTTGACATATGCACATTGACATTGTCATCGTTCATGAGATCATTCTTTAGGGAGACACTAAATCAAAGGAATCATTGACCAGGAGACAGTTGCCAGCATCTTACAGAACCCAAGATCAAGTGTTCTACAAGAACTTTCAAATCTTTGAGCAGCGAACTCGGCATGATCTTCAGCAGCAACACCAACCCCATCATCCCCACTACTACTACCATCATTTCGAGTGATGATCGCATGAAGGTTCAGCACCCCTGTACTTTCGACGACGGCGACACTCCGAGCAAGCTTGATCACACCATCATCAGCAACAGCTAGTACAGAACCATCTTTACTGGAATCAACAAGCACCACATCGTCATCGTAACCATCGGTTCTCGCGACGAATCTTCCACGAAAACCGCTTATTGATCCTTGAACAACTCTAACCTCGATCGCCGCCTCCACCGCCCCGCGAGATGGGCAAAGGTGACCTCTACCGAGCAACGCTTGCCTGGCCTTGCCTTTGATCTAACCTGCCCAACTATACTATTTGGCCCCATAGTTTCATACACAATGTATCTGGCACTCAACACCTTATCCTTATCGGATTGTGTTTTCCCCCTAACCTTGAGATCGATTTCGAATTCGATACGCTGAGAGCAGTTGATTGCACGGATAGGCCCTGTCAAGATGAAAGATGGGTCCTGCAAACATATCCAAGTTATTTGGGTAAAAACTAGTTTTTTTTATAAAGTTGATAGAACCATACTAAAAAAACTCCCGAGTAAAAACAAGTAGCAAACATATATTATTGTACCAAATATTGTTTCATTCACAAGCAATATTGACATGATATATTCGCTGAAGTAAACCATTTAGAACTTTGATCAGTAACCCAAGCAATCGATGTTATAGAGAATGTAGCATCGATGGTTAAAATCTAGGTGAAATTTCATCTATAGATATCTGAATTAATCAAGTATCCATAAAAAAAGTGATCAAATAGGTCTTTTTTAAAATTTTATTTTTCAGCAACAATGGCATGAAATATTTAGCTACAATGAACCACACTTGCAAATAGCTTATGCAAGATCAACAGCTGGACATATATGGAGTTTCATCAGTTCAGTTAGATTATAACATCTTATTTATGTTGTTGAAATCCGTACCAACTGTCAATGTTTCGGTCTGGAAAAGATTGTTTTCCTCCCCACTTCGAAATCTCAATTCAATCCAATCTCAAACATGTGCTGCCTACATCTTTTGAATAGTGAAATTCAGGTGAGAAATCTCTCCCCTCCAATTGACTTGTCTAAAAAAAATATAATCATAGCAATGTGATGTCAATGCATAATAAGCTAGAACATTGCGGTAGTTATTAACTGGTAATCCTTCTAAGCTAACATATAATTAAATTCACCACAAACAAGTCGGGGTTCAATATCGCAAATTTTATATTACTAAAAAGTATCGGATGGGTTGACCGGCCCATAGATCGACCCAAATTTTGAAAGAAGTTCCTTTCTGAATAGTTCCAAATTTTAACATATTTCAACCACATCTGAAAAAATATTCCCTAACACGGGGAACTAAAAATCCTGAAATTTTAGTCCGAGATATACTGAACCTACATTTTCACAATTTATAAGTTTATATAATATACCTCCGTGGTGAGTGTCTGGGCGTCGCCCCTCGGGCGATTGAAGATGTAGTTGCGCTTGCGGTCGAGCCCATCACGCACCGCGACGAAGCCGAAGACATTGATCGGCCACTCCAATCCGCCTGTGAGGTCAATCACCCTGCACGAGTACACCTCCACGCAGGGGAATATCCGCGCCCCGGGCGTTCGGAACGTGGGGCCCCTAGCTGCAGCAAATTGCAAAAAAGATCAAATTAGAGAGATTATTATGGTCATGTTGGGATCTAGGGATTAAATTTTAGTACGTGTTATATCGGATATTTGGACACTAATTAAAAATATTAAACATAGACTAATGATAAAACACATTCCATAAGCCTGGACTAATTCGCTAGACGAATCTACTGAGCCTAATTAGTCCATAATTAGCCTATGTGATCTATAGTAAACATATGCTAATTATGGATTAATTAGGCTTAAAAAATTTATCTCATGAATTAGCTCTCATTTATGCAATTAGTTTTATTATTAGTCTATATTTAATAATTCTAATTAATGTGCAAACATTCGATGTGACAGGGACTCAAAGTTAGTCTCTGGATCCAAACACCACCTATATCTGTCGTGTTTTGATCTTCTTCTCCTGGATATATATATATATATATTCGATTATGATCCAGATCGAATTAATATTGTTGGTGCTAAGATTTCAGGAATTAACAGAAAAATTAATACTACTTACTGACGTCGTCGATCTTGCAGTAGTCGTCCCACAACCACTCGAAGAATACGCGGTACTCGTACGGGTTGGGTTCGGAGTCGGAGTCGTCGTCGACGACGACGATCTGCCCTTTCGCCTCGCCGTCGCCGTCGCCGGCGACGTCGAGGATCGCCGCCGCCTCGGCCACCTCTGCAGGCGACACCGAAACGCACGTCTCAGCTGCCATTGTTGCAGATCGATCGACAGGCTCGAGTCGGTTCGTTTTTTTTCCCCTTATCTTTTATAAGAAAAATAGTATCAGAGTTTTCTTTTTCTAAAACTAACACGATGCCCGTCAGCCCGTGCATTTTGCAACATGATATTCAAATAATAGGGGCAATTGCGTTTTTGACCCTATTTTAAGGTCTAACTACTAATTTGACCTTACTTTCTTAAGTTTGCTCTTTTGACCCTCTTTTTTGTTAAGCCAACATAACGGTGTTAATTTAGAGAAAAATGGCTTTTATGCCCTCACTCATTTGACTCAACTTTTTCAAAGTTTTTGCTTGTCTAATTTCGTGTATTTTTATCTAAAAATGTGATATTTTTTTTTATTACGATAAGTGACAAATTTAAATTAGGTTTGAGGGATTTGACGAGTTTTTAATAGATTTAACTTTTTTTTTTGACAAAATTCACTTAGATTTCACTTAATCCCTCCAGCACCAACAGCATGCAGTCCTCCTGACCGGCTCCGTCTACCTCCAGCCAGGCAAGAACAAAGAGAGGCCAGAGAGAAACGGAGAGCAGCAGCAACAGCAAAAACAAAGCAGCAGCCAAACACCTGCTGGCGAGCTCCCGCGCCATCCTCGACCCGCGCCGCGCGCCTCCTTCCGCGGTCGGCGGCAGCGAGCTCCCGCGCCGCACGCCTCCCTTCGCGCCCGGCGGCGGCGAGCTCCTGCGCCTCCCTTCTTCCGTGCGGAGCAGCTGCTGCCGCTGCCCTCTGCTCACCGGCGCCGAGAGAGATGGGGTTGAGTGCGAATGGATAGGGTTGAGTCCTCAAGGGTATTTTTGTCCGTTTGAATAATAATTTGAATTTTTTTCTTTTCCTAAATGAAACCCTAACGGTATAATAGAAATAGGGTCAGACGGCAGCTTCATTTTTTAAAAGCAGGGTCAAATGAGCAAACTAAAAAAAGTAGGGTCAGATTGGTAGTTAGGCTCTGAAATAGGGTCAAATAAGCAATTGTCCCCAAATAATATGTACATTATATTTTTACTATTTGCTTCTTCTTTTTTCATGCTCTAAAAAAAATACCGGTACGTTGTAACGGGTAAACTAAAATCTATATCTATATACCTAATTAAAAAATACGTAAGGTTTCCGGGTGTTTTATTTTCGTCTGTCACACCAGCGCTTCGCTAAAATCCGGATTTAATCCGGTAAACAGTCCAATCGGCCCTTTTTTTATCCACTCCAAAACCGCGTTTGATATGATACAAGTATGTATCTTCTATGTAACCTCCTGTCACCTGTAGGTGTCTGCCTACTTGGTTAAGGGTGAAAGTTTTCATTTCAGCCACCTGGGCTCCACTCCCAGTTTCCTCTTCCAACCTATTATTACTTGCACTGTATCTATAAGCCCTGTTTTTTTTAACAAATTGGTCCTTTTTAAAAACTTATTTTGAAACTAGTCCCTATAAAAAACTTCAATAGTCCGTTGACTCAGCGCCATAGATCCTGGCGCTGAGCTATAACGTCTCAGCGCCAACAACGTTGGCGCTAACATCTAATCCGAGGTGGTATGAATTTGTTGAGTCACTATAACTCAGCGCCAAGGTGTTTGGCACTGAAGCCCAGACGATTTTAATAGAAGCGCAAGCACTCTAGTATAGCAAAATAGTGATAGCCCAGTGGTTGATGGCTCAAGCTGTGAGCCGTAGGGTTCCAGGTTCGAATCCTGTATCCCACCTCACCTATTTCTCTTTTGAATTTTAGGTTTTTTTTCTTTTCTCTTCCTCATATCATTCTTTTAAAATGTTTTTTCCCTTTTTTTTCTTTTTTTTTCCTTTTCTCTTCCTCACCTTTTTCTTTTTTGTATTTTAGGTTTTTTTTTTCTCTTCCTCATATCATTCTTTTAAAATGTTTTTCCCTTTTTTTTTCTTTTTTTCCTTTTCTCTTCCTCATAGCATTATTTCAAAATTATTTTTTTCTTTTTGTTTTGTATTTTAGGTTTTTTTTTATTTTCTCTTCCTCATAGCATTCTTTTAAAATGTTTTTTTTCCTTTTCTCTTCCTTTTTCTTTTTTGTATTTTAGGTTTTTTTTTCTTTTCTCTTCCTCGTAGCATTCTTTTAAAATGTTTTTTTCCTTTTCTCTTCCTCATAGCATTCTTTCAAAATTAATTTTTTATTTTTGTTTACAAAATAGTTTAAGTTCTCAATTGGCACATAATATACCACTTTAATATTTTTTTCCAAATTCAAAAAAATTTGCAATTTAAACATATCTTTTGAAGATAGTATCATGAGACAAACAGAAAAAAAAAAGAGTGAGAGAGAAGAAAAAGAAAAAAAAATGGGAGAGATGGGGGATCGAAAGAAGAACAAAAAAAGGAAAAAAAAAGAGTGAGAGAGAGAAGAAAAAGAAGAAAAAGAAAAAAAATAAAGAGTAAGAGAGAGAAGAAAAAGAAGAAAAAAAATAAAGAGAGAGAGAAGAAAAATGGGAGAGAAGGGGGATCTAACCCTGCTCCATAGGGATAGAGTAGATGCCTGCTACCACTATGCTATTAGTGCGTTGTTGAAGATGAATGCCTCCGCAACAATTTAAATCATCAGGACCTCAGCGCCAAATACCTTAGCGCTAAGCTATGATGACTCAGCAAATTCATGCTACCTCGGATTCGAGCTTAGCGCCAACGTTGTTGGCGCTGAGACGTTATAGCTCAGCGCCAATGTCAATGGCGCTGAGTTCACGGCCTATTTTTAGTTGAAGTTTTTTGTAGGGACTAGTTTCGAAATAAGTTTTTGAAAAGGACCAATTTGTTAAAAAAAAGGCTATAAGCCTCTCTTAAAATAAGTCTACTTTGCCTCCCTCGTGTCAAATCATATTTGCCTTCAAATTTTCTCTCCCTCCACCACTTGCACAGACCATGCATGTGCAATGGCTGAAAAATCAGAAGTTTTGCACCGTTTTTTTCAACAGATTTTTATTGATCAAGTCTATAGGCCTCTCTTAACATAAGTCTACTTTGTCTCCCTCGTGTCAAATCATATTTGCCTTCAAATTTTCTCTCCACCACTTGCACAGACCATGCATGTGCGATGGCTGGAAAATCAGAAGTTTTGCACCTCTTTTTTCAACAAATTTTTATTGATTATGAAATTTTATAATGAATTGGTTTTTAATTCAAAAATTAAATATAATTAAATTATATACACAAAAATCAATATAAATATATTGTTTACCTAGGTCCTAGAATAAGTCTACTTTCCCTCCCTCCTCTCAAATCATATTTGCGCGTAAACTTTTTTTCTCTCAACCACTAGCACGGACCATACACATCCAATGGCTGAAAAATCAAAAGTTTTGCACCGCTTTCTTCAACAGACTTTTAGTGATTCTGAAATCTTATAATGCACTAGTTTTTAATTCGAAAATTAAAGATAATTATATTATATAAAAAAATCAGTATAAATACGTGAACCAACCGGTATTTTTTTAAAACATGAAAATTGAATATGTGCATGGCATGAAACTTCACACCATGGCTCCGTTCCTTTTATCTCGATTTTTGTTAGCGCGTTTTTAAAACTTTCTATATACAAGTTAATATAAAATACGAGATAACTTTTCTTAATTTTGTAACAATAAAACTCAATTAATCATGCGCTACGAGGTTTTCTACAAAAGAAAAAGGAATGGTATGATACGGCTGGCACTGTTTAGGTTTAGTCGGTTAGAGCTTAGTACTGTACTGTTCCATTGTGCTTATAATCAATGCAATGTTATAGCAATCATCAATTATGAAAAAAGATTATAAAAGTGTCATAAAAATGTAGTTTAAAATAATTAATGACCTCCCAAAAAATTCATTATTGACTTATACGTGAAGATGCGTTGCTCGGACATCCGTTTCTCCAATGCTACAATCATCAGGACCATGTGTTAGGGACATCATTCATATTCTGCACGCGTAGAGCGGATTAATTGTCGAAGCACAAATATGCATTTGTGACATTTGTGACAACTATGAATTATCGCCGGTATTTATGATCATACTTAGGTGCTTCAGTAAATCATTGAGGTCAAATTTCATCCACCTAACCATTACCCAATGTTACCCAATGTAATGCACAGGTATTTTATTCTGTCGTCCACGCGTGAGTCCTGACACGATCCATCTCTACGTGAGTATGTGTTCGATTTTGGAAATGATATCACAGTTTGTCACACAAGGGTTGAGGGAGAGAATGAGCGTATTTTTTTATCCGTCGTGATTATCATTAGCCTAATGAATAATTTATCTATCTTGAAACATTACTATATACATGTTAACTCTAGACTTTATAGCATTTAACTGTTTTTACCTGTAACGAAGCACGCGCATTTTTCTAGCATAACAATAATATAATTAAAATAGCCTTCACATGTTGCAACGCACGGGCATTTTTTTTAGTTATATACTAAATATAAAAATATTAGATGATTAGGGTTTAGTTTCACATGATATGAGCTCTTTAAGAAAATATATTCCTAATGAAATAAAAAAAAGTTCAACTTAAGGGACCACAAGTGTACTTATTCCATGCGGAGCATACAGGCCCATGAGGCGGCCAATAGTGGGGGGATAACTTTAGGGACATAAAGTGAACTTATTCTGTGAGAAGATTACACGCGGCCCAATAGTGTGGGTGGCATGGGAACGTGTGGACCCCCGTTTTTATAACAGGAATCAATTGTGTAAACAGTACCATTTCCCTGGATCAAGTAGTCTGGTACACACGAACTCATAGCTGAAATATCAAGTGCACATACACGAGAGTCTAGTACGAATTATTACATCATAAGCCCGCAGGCACAGTCTTAAATCATCGGACCGAGCGGTCCGGAATACATCCAAAAGAAGAAATAGATAAGGCAGCGGAATTCAGGCAGCGGCATGCCATTGCCACAGGCAACGACCGTACTAAGACCTACTGAGCGCCATCGTCTTCATCTCCCTCCTGGTAGTAGGCATAGGGATCCTCCGAGGCTTCATCTCCCGCTTCTGATTAATTTTATATTTGTAAGGGTGAGTACCAACCGTACTCAGCAAGCCACCACAGCAATGATGCACATGACAGAGGAATTCAAAGGATGGCTATGGTTCTTTTGCGCAAAGCAAGTTTTGTAATTCTTTTCACAAGCCTAAGACCTAGCATAGACTGATCAAGTTTTAATACCAGTGTTCATATTAAACAATGACGGTTCTGTCCACCATCCATTGTGATCCCAAGGATAGCTTCCCGCCATTGAGTCGTTATGGTTTTCTGAGGACGTCCACATTCCCGCCTCTCAGGAAGTGGCTCCATCAGCATAAAAATCATCATGCAATATCTCATCCCACACAAGTTAAAGAATTTAGAGTCTAACCAAGTGTAATACATGTCCCGGTGCTCAATAACCGCGAGCACGGCTATTCAAATAGATTTGGTTTACTCACACTGCAGTGGATGTACACTTTACCCGCACTCTGCGACTGCCCAACACATGAGCCTCGTCCCAACACATGAGACGCGTCACGGCAAAGCTTTTCGATAACCTTGCATTGGCAGTACCCGCTCCATGAATTTAAATCCTCATGCACTCTAGGCGTCCATGTTTCTAGCAGTGAGAGGAGTTCTGGCGCTCCCGGGAAAGAGAAGTCTCACACACATATTAAATTATGGTTCAAGTTAAGTTCTCTCTCTCACACACTCATGGCAGTCCTACCAATGGCGACACCGATGTAGGGCACGCCTCTCGGCCCTACCTCAACGGCTGTCCCACCGTAGCGCACCTGCCTCACTCAGGGGTGAACCATCTATGCAGGGATACTGCCTCCGCTCGGCTATCTAATCCGCTAGGTCTATACCCATTCGA